CACACTCAACATAACCTATTATTTACACGTGCCAGCTGCGGTTAAATGTTATTTTCATGTATTATTGTTAAATTGGGTCTGTGGTTTGCGGGTAACTAATTCGCTGGGAGAGAGAATCGATGAAGGGTGTGAGCAGCTCCAGATGTGGTTTTCATCGAATGGATTGCTGCTGAATATCACTAAATCCAACATCATGGTTTTCTCGGGTCGAGGTCTCACAGTTCCTCCGTGTGTAGCAAGCAATCCGATGCCGATATGCAATGAGAGTAGGTTCCTCGGCTTCACTCTGGACTCGAACCTTAACTGGAAGTGCCATGTTGACAGACTGTGTGATAGACTGAGTGGTGCAGTATTTGCGTTGCGTAAACTGAAATTGCTCATTTCTGATTCTGCATTAAGACAGGTCTATTTTGCACATTTCCACTCGCTGATGTCGTACGGTTCACTCGTATGGGGTAACTCCACGGATACCAACGTGGCGTACGCGTGTCGGGGGGGTAAAACACAGACATTCCTGCAGAAATCTCTTTATAGCGCATAATGACGCACTACTCACTCTACAGATACGAAATTATAATGTACGTTAGAAATAATCTTTCTTCATTTGGTACTGTAAATGTTTCTCGCATCCCACTTCGCCGTACCGGTCATTTGAGAACAGTCCCCCGACGCATGGCACTTGCAGAGAAAAACCCGCGTGTCATCGGACCTACTTACTATGAGCGTTTACCCGCTACTCTCAGACTTGAACCGTCTGACGAAACATTGAGGCGCCGGCTGAAAGATCTTTTCTTGAAAAATCCTTCATATTCTGTAAATGAATTTATGGACTTAAAATTGTAACGAAATGGTATTTTCTATTTTTATTCTAATTTTTACCGCATTAACATACTCTTATATAATTGTTATCAACTTATAACGATCCTTGATGGAGAACGATATTTAATATGTAATTTAATGACAACAATATTATATAATGAATTGTTAATTTTCTATTTATTGTGTATTTTCTTATAATTTTCACTTTTTTTCTGACGATCTCAATATAATTTCTTATACTTTGACATGTAGTGCAATTTATACTGTAATGTTATATTTGAGAAATAAATTAATCTCAATCTGAACCTGATTATGTTTAGAAAAACAAATGAGTCAATAAGTCCAGACTGCAAATCAGTGCCGTGTGGCACACAGTCACAAAGATCAAACTGAGCCTGTTCTTTCCACGTGGAAGTACGTTACTTATGATGCTGTTCTGTTTTTTATTGTTGCGTGTGATTTACCACACACAATAATAGGAACAACGATTTATTTGTAACTGATTTAAATGGTTGAACTTCTAGCTAGATGTGTCATTATTGGATAAATAAAAAGTATTTAATTTATCTGTAGTTACACCTTTATTCATTTACAAATCATTACAAATTACGTACAAGTTACGTAATATCTTCATTTGAATAATTAAAATACAAAAACAATTATTTAATATACAATCGATTTGGTTAGTACACTTACAAGCTATCTATTCTACTGTTAGTACAAAAGTTACAGAATAAGAATAAAATGAATGAATGAAATTATTAATTATTAATTAATTCATGATACCTGCTAAGTACACCGACCTCTCAGGACGTGAAGTTCAGTGACCCTAGCAAGCAGATCGGAGTCCCACCTGTCCCCTATCATTTTAAGAACTCTGTTTGAACTCTTTCGCACACTGTGCACCTTTTTTCGCATTAGTCCGTAAAAATTCTCTACACCAACGTAGGCGAACACGCCGGACGCACTGCAGTAGTAAGGAAACTCCAACAGAGCCGTGAACACATTATTATACATAATGCGTAGGGAGTTGTAGAATGTCTGGCAGTATGCTTATAATGCATATAATTGTTTAGTATTCTTAGTTAATTAATTTTAAAGAAAGTAAGACCAAGTCAAAAGTACCCTATCGACTAGTGTGTGTAAAGCATAGATGCATGTAGATGAGGCGAAAGGTGTGTGTCGTGATCGGAGCAAGTGGAAGACTGTGTGGTCTCTACTTACCCCGACGGAAATGAGCAATCGCGACGGAAAAGTGTTTGTACAAAAAACTTTAGCATAAAGGTTTCAGTATAGTTCTTATGTTGTGTGTTGTGAACCTGGGACCTCTGCGTGGCAGTCATTGTAACCGTTCGGCCACAGAGGCAGTTGACGGAGGCGGTTGCATATTAGTTTTAGAAAAAATTGTTATTTGTAGTAACTCTATTTATAAGTGCTTTTATTATATAATATTTGAATTTGAATTTAAATAAAAATTACTTAATTGCGCAATTTGAACTCTATCTCACCTGAGGGAAAGTGATGATGAGGTCGACAATATAGCATGCACACCAGGATAATGCCTATACACCCTCGCTTTGATAAGGCCCAAGTTATGGCGTTCAGGCAAAAAGTCTGCAGGCAAGGAATTTCACTCGTTAGCCGTTCGCCATGTAAATGTGGAAACGAAACTCTTCGTGTATAATATCCACAACATAGGGGTGAAACCCCAGCCTACGTCTAGTCCTCCGACGATGGAAAGGAAAGACGGGATCATGCAATTCCATCGTACACTCTCCATGATGTAGAAAACCGATAAAAAGGCAACTTAAGTTTAAAATTCTCTATATGCCCAAAACTAAAACATTTGTCTTCAGTCTCGAAAACGCCAAAAAATCGTTGAGACACGTAAAATTTTTGAGATCGAGATTCCCAGGGTTAAAGACCTACTGAATATCCATATAACACACAGAATAAAACCGAAAACATCTACGACTACATTGCCCACCACTTCCACATATCGATTTACCAAAGGCGAATTATAGAATCCATGACCGTGGAGCATGTAAGCCACGGAGGAAAAAAAACGATGGAAGTACCTTAAGCCTCGGTTACTATCTGAACCGATATCGACAAAACTCACACATTCTTAATTTGAAAACACTACAAAATCTTAATATTGATTGGCCGTAGTTTCAAATTTAAAAAGAAATAACAAATTCTGCATTGTTAATGTAATTTAACCTTTATCGTGTTGGCATATCGTTGAAAGTTCAATACCATCAATACCTACTACTGCAAGTTACGACGTTTTGACATTATATTGAAATTTAAATCAATGTGCTGCCATCTAGCGGTTAATTGCTGATCGACAACGAATTGGACTTATTTATTTAGTTCTCCAAAAAAGAAACGACCATATGGCAGGCTTTACTCTCCTTGCTTGTAACAAAACATAAAAAATAGTTACGATAAACAGAAAATTGATTGAAATTGAAAATTTATTAAAATAAGACTTTCCGATAATATAAAATACCACCACGGTACTACTTTTGGTGCGACTATCATTTTTGCAGTCCAAAACAGCACACTAAAGCATTTTTCTAGGATTTTAGAGTATTTGCACGAAAGAATGACACAATCATACCATACAAACGAAAATGGCGGACTGAGGGCAGATAGATCTTTCGAGACCTATACTTGGCACGCGTCTGACGCTAACTAAATTCTATTGTATTTATTGTTAAGTGATGTAACGGTTCCGAAAAAAAAAATCATACTACAGTATGATTATATATATTATTTATTATTATTATCATTATACACACATCAAAAAAAGTTTGCGATCAATAGCATAAGCTCCTATAATTCTTTAAATTTAACTTTATCAAGAAAAAATCTATGTTGTATGCTTTCTTTAAATAGGAATACCCTGTTTGAAATTAAAATATAAAACTATTTTTTATTATTTATTTTAAAAAATTGAGCCATTAATCATAATGTAATAGTGATAGAAATTTCATAGAAAGAAAAAGACTGTTTAATTAAACTTAAACAACAATTTATTATTAAAAGGTGTGAATTCAATATAAAATAACTCCTCCCCTGGCTCGAATACATGCGAAGATCCTCCTGGGCATGCTGAGGATCAAGTTATCCAGCATTTCCTGGGGTAACCTATCCCATTCTTCAATAGCGGCTTCCCTGAGCTCTGGAACTGTCTGGGGACGTGGCTCACGGTTCCATACTGCTCGTTTAAGAGCATCCCACGCGTGCTCTATTGGGTTTAAGTCGGGCGAGCCGGCAGGCCAGTCTAATCGTGTGATATCGTATTCTTGAAGAGCAGCATTGACTCGTTGAGCTCGATGTGCGGGCGCATTATCATCGACCAGTACAAATTGGTGCCCATGGTTTACTCGGAATGGTCTGACGATATCATCAATAGCAACTGCTTTGTACATGTCTGCTGTCATGAAGCCCCGATACGGGATCAAAGGCGTTCTAGCTCCAATCATAATGCCACCCCAAAAGGAAACCGATTTTCCGCCTTGCTGAACTGTTCCAGTGGCAGTTCTTTGTCTTTCACGGTCGCCTGGTCTTCTCCAGACACGGACACGTCGCACGGTGGTTCGAAACTGATATACGAGGGACTTAGCGATCACTTTTACAAATTCTACTTTTAAAAAATACCTGTCGATTGTATACGTTATTCTGAGGAATAAATGTCATAAAACACTTTTCTCTAAAACTGATAGTTTGGCTAGAAAAAAATATTTTCCATTTTCGTTGTATGGAATGAAACATAAACTGTTCAATTCTGGCCAACTCTTGATAGATCCTGCTATATGACCACTTGAGCATTATTCTATAGCTTGTTGAGTATAATCCTACACTATCAGCGCCCACCCAAAGTTGCCCGTTCAGGAGTTACGAGGTGCCAAAAAATTAAAAAAAAAAAGTAAGGAAAAGTGTTTTTTTTAATGTATTATGTCTTTAAAGTTTCAATCAAAACAATTTTGTTACATGAAAAACGTAAGCAAATAATGTGACTCTGAAAACACTAAGAAATTATAGTGTTAGACTTTAAGTAGAAATGTAGTAAATTCAAATTCAATTAAAACTAACTCATATGACACTTACAAAAATATGTTTAAATACATTCGAAATTTAAAATTACATCTAAATAATAATAAAAAATACAATTAATCACTATCACTATCTTGTAAATTATTAATATCTATAAAATCTAGTTCAGGCTCATTTGGAAAAGACATCAAAAGCTCTACTGCTCTTGGTGAAAGAACCATTTTCTGATGTTTAGCCATTCTTGGCCTCAGAGAAGTCAGTTTTGGATCTGAAGACAAGAGAAGATTATGTAAAATATCTTCATTTGTCGCTGTCCTACTAACTTTTCTGGAATGGTTCTCTCGATATTTTCGAAAATCTTTGTTGCGAGCTTCTGATGCCTCTTCCGATAAGTTCCCGATTGGTAACATGCCAAAATACTCAATTATATCCGCGCCATGCATTAGCAACTTATGTACACTAGAGGGCATGTAGTACCACGGATATAATTGGACGTATAAAGTTGCTGTATTTTTACAAAATTCGGAGAATTTTGTGAGATCTATTCTCTCACCAGAAGCCACAGTTTGCAAGATTATGTGAAACCTTTCTATCAACTCTTCATCTACCCCAGTGATGCGAGCCGATGTTTTTGCATCACTAAAAAATCGTCTGGCAGTGTTTCCGTCATTTGTGGTGCCTGCTCCTTGTTTAACAATATCAACAAGCAAGCCTTTTTCTTTTTTAAAATCTTCTTGGATTTGTCGTTTCCTGTTTTCCATCTTCTCTTTATTCTCACCCCTTGAGCTCCATTTTTTGAAGTCCATACGGTAAGCTGAAACAAAAAAGGTGATTCAGTAAAATTCAGAGAAATGTCTTTACGAAAGATTTTCGAATTGTAAAATTACAACACGAATTAGTTATTTGACTATAATGTTTGAAATTCTTTACCTATATGAAGCAAACACTCCATGCACCGGATCCACGCATGTAATGAAGACAATCCGTATTGGTACATGTCTTCATTTCTGGGTCTGCGGTCGATGTTGTCGAGATTATTCATCTCAGATGGTTTTATCTTGGAAATATCACACAGAGCTGCAGCAGTTTCCGATATGTAAGAAGTGATTTTGCCATCGATCATTGTCATCAATAGTTGGTAAGTAACTGACACTTCCTGTAGCTCTGTCGGTTGAAGTGCTTCTACTTGCCGGTCAATGACAAGTTTTTCTTCTTGCACTGAACTTTTACACTCCTTCATGAACTTGAACATGATAGGGCGACAGTAAAGCGTTGAAGATGGACGATCATTTTCCCATATTATCACTTCGTCACGCATCAACCTTATTGGTACTAGGCTGACCATAAACACACTAGAATCGTCGAAATCGGAACTGCTAGCCTTCTGCTTGTAATTGCTTTGACTGGATGCTCCATCAAAACCCCATTTGCATATCAGCTTCAAATCAGCTTTAGAAGTTAAATCAAAATCCATTGCCTCTAGTAGTCTTGATGTTGTTAAATTGAGCAGGGCCTGTAGTTTAAGAGATGCTCCATCTTCGGTTAGGGTAATGTCTTCTTTTTTAGGATAGCAATTTAATTTTGCTTGCATGATTTTATAGTAGGACGGATACAAGGATGCTACACCTTGTTCAATTGCTGAATCTCGCAAATTAATATATTGCCACTTGGACAAGTTTAGCGCAATAGATAAAGCTAATGCTTTTTCAGGGGTATATAAAGGACAAGAATCTATACATTTCTTGCTTAAGCAAGTCTTAACCCTATCAACATCTTCAGGATGGTGTAACAAATGTTCCATAATTTTACTAATTTCGGTGCTCCCACTGCTCTTCAAAGTTTCCGTAGTAGCACCGTATATTTCTTTTGGAGACAAAGATTTACTCAAGAGTTCGACGCGTCTCCTTTTTTGTTTGTTACACAACTCTTCAAATGGTTTTCTAGGCGTAAATTGTAACGATGACGTTGAAGCTTCGGAAGTAGATGGTGGCAAATTTTCTAAATTTTCACTGTCATCATCGGGTTGGACATTTTCTTTTTGGGAGTCAAGATTTTCGGGCCAGGTTATGGCAGTTTCGAGCCAATCTCCATTCCTTTTCAAAAAATTGCCAAGGGTTCTATTTGACCTCTTCCATCTACCCGAAATATTTGCACAAAACTTCTGACAAAATGTCCGGAGTTTTGCATTTGTTTCATCCGTCCAGTTAAAGTCTAGCGTCTGCTTCAGGTATTCAAAAAGTTTTTTACTGTCAGATAATGAGCCTAACTTCTCTCTTAACACCATAAACAAATCCAAATTATTCACTAATATTTCCATATTGGTCACAAAAATATTATTTACGTACACTGTTAGGTAGGTCTTAATAGTCAAATTACGTAGCTTGGACTGATTTTATTTAAACGAAACTTCTCATTATATAGGTCAGGACTACTACATATCATCCCCATGTCATTAAGTACGTCTATTATAAGGAAAGTGGAATGATTAAATCGTATGACACTTAGTTAATGATTGTAGTAATTAGCTAATTATTAAAATAGATAATGATAATGTGTTAGTTCTCAGTATTAATTGAATACTGAATGGCAAATGAAATGTAAGTAATTAGGTAATTAGTTAATTTTACTCTCTCTCTTTTGTTACGTTCTAACAAAAAAAATACTTTGCTATAATTAGGATAAATACAAAAACGATTAGTGAATGACTTATTAAAAAAATATAAATATTCATTTTACAACATTATGTATCTTATAATTCTTATAAGTATGCTGTAAAACTGAGCAAGTAATTTTTAGCTAGAATTTTTGTACTTTATGTCGTAAAACTTTTTTTTAAGTCCTCAACTGTTAAAAACGATTTCTATAAATTAGTATTTTAGGTTAAAAACAATATTTACCGTATAATTTTCATGTGTTACAATAATATTGGTAGTATAATTCAAAGATATTAGTCATTAAAAAAACATTTTTTCTTACTTTTTTGGAATCTCGTAACTCCTGAACGGGCAACTTTGGGTGGGCGCTGATAGTGTTGGATTATACTCAACAAGCTATAGAATAATGCTCAAGTGGTCATATAGCAGGATCTATCAAGAGTTGGTCAGAATTGAACAGTTTATGTTTCATTCCATACAACGAAAATGGAAAATATTTTTTTCTAGCCAAACTATCAGTTTTAGAGAAAAATGTTTTATGACATTTATTCATCAGAATAACGTATACAATCGACAGGTATTTTTTAAAAGTAGAATTTGTAAAAGTGGTCGCTAAGTCCCTCGTATATCAGTTTCGAACCACCGTGCGTCGGTTATCTGGATGAGTGCTGATTCGGGATTCGTCAACGAAGAGACAGTTTTGCCAAATGTTTTCGTCCTCACCTTCTTCATTTTGCCGAAGTCTAGCCCACTGCAATCTTCGTTGTTGACGTTGCCGGGAATTGTGCGGAGCTCGCCGAGACCTCCGTGCTCGTAATCCAGCCTGGTGCAAGCAATTGCGAACGGTCTGCGTGCTAACTTCAAGCCCAGAGGCGGCCCTGACTTCTGCTTTTATTTTAGTGGCGTTGATTGTTGGATCACGGGCTGCCAGCAATCTAATATAGCGCTTTTGGCCAGCTGTCAAAACAGTTGGGCGACTGCTGCGGGGTCGGTCAGCTAAATTCCCCATTCCGTGATACCTCTGCAACGTAGCCACGACACAGGATTGGGATATAGCAAGTCTGCGTGCTATTACTCTCGTGGTGTATCCTTCTTCTCTCAAAGTTACTATTCTAGCTCGTAAAACCTCTGATAATCCTCTTGGCATTTTTTCAATCACAACTTTCCGCGAAAAATATCTTGAATCGCTTATAATTGACTAAATCAGATTTCTGAATGAGCGTAAGCTAGGACTGAAAGCCTTTTTATATGAAAAAACAATTGAACGGGGTCATTGTTTTATGTTCTAATTTATTTTTAAATAAAGAATCTAAAAAGAAGAAAAAATCATAATATAATCTACAGTAACAAAAAATATTTCAGTTTTTCGAAGTGATCGCAAACTTTTTTTGATGTGTGTACTATATATTACAATTACAAACCTGTAATTAGTGATAATCAAATAAATTAACATTATTATGTTTAAATTTTTGGCAGCTTACACGTAAGTTTACTTTATATTTAATAAATAAATAATATTATGAACTAAATCGTTTACTATTGTTAATCACTGTGGTGTCCCAAAGTTTCACCATTGGGATATAAATGTGCCTGGCGCTCCCTTGTTACATCCTGCAAATACACGAGATTCGGGATTGCAAAGTAATACAACATGAACAAACTGAAGATACAAATTTAATATTAATAATGTAATACGTCTCACTCAGCCGTGACCATGGGACCTGTATAGAGATCGAACGTTGATTTCTTTTAAAAAATAAACGCAATTTAGATCCGAAAAAAGTTCCCTTATGTAGTCCAAAAATCTAAAAGCTATTGAATTACAACTGTTATTTATTTTTGTAGTCGTAGAGCTCCTTGTGAAAGAGTTGGTCCAGGGAAGTACTGCCACCTTACCTATTTCTGCCGCCAAGCAGTAATGTGAGCATTACTGTGTTCCGGTATTGAAGAGTAAGAGTGCTGGTGAAATTATAGGCAAATGGGACTATTCAACTTATGTCTCAGGGTGACGAGCGCGGTGCAGTGCCACTCAAACATTTGCGATTCAAAGCTCTGAGCCTCACTGCAACACCGAGTGACACAACTAACCATGTTATGGTCAGTGGTGTCGCTTGCCGTGAGACGCATGACTTTTTCGTCCCACCACTTGGTATCATAAAAAAACAATTGTTTGTTGCGTTTATCACTTCCTTAATTTTATTTATATTATATCATCAATTCATTGCACGTACAAATTGATAAAATTAAAGAATGTATAGATATACTCGTAATATACCATCTACCTAAGTCAAAGCTCATTTACTGGGAATAAACGTAATGATCTATTGCGAAAAATTATATAGTTTTCGAAAAAAAAAATGCATTTTGATACTTTACAACCAACTATGTTAAATGTCCATATTAAACTCGCAGGATCTATTACAATAAATCAGTTATTGTGATTTAAAGCCTGTTATGCACAGGTGTGTCGCTTACCACAGGCGCACGACTTGGTCGTCTCATCACTTCGTATCATGAAAAAAAAGTCGAACAAATAAACTTCAAACTAGAAATAGCTGTAATTTGTAAAGTTTATTTAATTGTGTTCTAATACACTTTATTAAAACTAATTTCCTTGTTATAGGGAAACTATTCCACTTAAAAAATATATAATAATAATAACGCACACACTAGGGAAACCATGTGTCGCGGTTATACAATAAAACGAACTTTATTGTATAAGTACGTATTTTACACAGAGTTATGACTAAAAACCGACTTAAATATAGTCATGACCATTATTTGAATAACGCTAAAAACAGATTGAGTTATAACTACATTCATATGAACCGCTGACCACACGTACCAGGACGTTTAAGAGTCTATACAACCTCGAATACTTTTGGTTGATTCCGCATAACTTTGAAAGTTTTGAATCAATCACTTTGATAAATATATTTAGTATAATTGATAATTGAGGAGGATACAGTGATTACTATATATAAAAATATAACACGATAGATAGAAAACACAAACTCACCTTGACATTTTACAAGAAAACCGCTTTATATTATTCCAATTTTTTTTTATATCAACTGAACTAAATAGAACAAGTATACGATATGTATTTTTCAAATGGCTTTAATTTCGTTTGTCATAAAATAAATAATATGGAATTAAGCCAGTG